GGGAGCCCCAAAATTTAGCTTTGATGTCTTTGCACCCACAACCTGAAGTGTCTCTTTCCCCCCTCATCCCCTACATTTCAATAATTGGAGAGAGAGAGACATTCCCTAATGTGGAAGTGCTAGCAGGTGCTACCTGCTGGTCTATCTCTGCTCCATTGGAGGGCGATGTCTTTTCTCACAACAACCTTCTCAGTGTGCCATACAGCAAGTAGACACAAGGACGGCAGAATTCATTCCAGATTGACAGGTCATCTCAGCTACATCACATGCTTCGCCGCCTGTGACTTTATGACTGGGTGATGCAAAGGTCCCGAAAGAAGCAGAACAGCGGGGCAGTCCTTGAAAAGGGATTTCCCAGGCTGATAGAACAACCTGAAATAACTTCCTTTGTCTGCTTGCTGAATCGGATCTTGTGACTGAAAGACAGCTGATGGATGAGGCAATGTGACCTGCCGGATTGCAACTCCACGAAGGAGGCCATGCGATCCACCGGAAGCCGCCTAGGAAGTAGGCCACTTCTGGGAATTGCGAAATATTGTCCCTTTCTCTATTGAATGAATGCAATACGTCTTATTTTTCTTTCACACTGAATGACTATATTTGTTTGTTTAATTGATTGATTGATTTGTAGCTTGCCTTTATTATTATTATTATTGTTCTACAACAATACAAATTCTCGCCACCGTGGTAGAAACTGGGATGCCTCCTGATTGCTTCCTCAACAGAAGGCAGAAGCCTTATTTATTTTTATGGATTTATCTAAAGGCAGAATAGAATGTCAAAAATATTCAACTCCAACCTCCATCTTTCCCAGCCACGGGAGCCGAGGATGAGCGATGCCATGAGTTGCAGCTCAGCAAATTTTGGAGCTCACCAATGTCTTATGGAAAAGGGGAAGGGTGGGGACTTAAATTTTGTAAATAGTGGGCGGAGAAGAGAAGGTATTTCAGGGTCGGCCCGAGTGTTCTATAATTTATAATTGTCAACGAGATTTTATAGCGACATTTCTTAACGGTATTTCATGTTGTAATACTTTACGTCTTACTCTTCGGCGTCTTCCTTCTGCCACGTTATCCTCAATAGTAAGATGTCGAGATCCATCTTATTTTATCGATATTAGCAAGGAGCACCAGGCCTTCTTCCAGAATGTTCTTTGTGAGCAGAAATGGGAGAAACAGAATACAGTAACAGGCTTGGAAGGGACCTTGGAGGTCTTCTAGTCCAACCCCCTGCTCAAGCAGGAAACCCTAGACCATTTCAGACAAACGGCTGTCCAGTCTCTTTTTAAAAACTTGAGGTGTTGGAGCATTCACAACTTCTGGAGGCAGGTTGTTCCACTCATTAATTGTTCTCACTGTCAGGAAGTTTCTCCTTAGTTCTAAGTTGCTTTTCTCCTTGGTTAGTTTCCATCCATTGCTTCTTCTCCTGCCTTCAGGGGCTTTGGAGAATAGCTTGACTCCCTCCCTTCTTTGTGGCAGCCCTTTAAATATTGGAAGACTGCTATCTTGTCAACTCTAGTCCTTCTTTTTATTAAACTAGACATCCCCATTTCCTTCATAAACCTTCATAACACAATCATCTTCCCTTCCTTTGGCAGATAAACAAACTAACCATAAGAGGTTACCCTTTCAGGGCCAATTGTACTGAGAAAAACTAACTTTAGAGTGTCACCAAGAAACCAGCAAATCCTCAGTAGCTGAGCCGATTCTTCTTGTCATTTAATGACCCAAAATGAATTGTTTCTGGGGTTTTCAACCCCCGAGTAACTTGATATAATAAAAATAAAAATCTCTGCTCCTCTGAATTTCTAAACAAGTTTTTTTTTCTTCTCCTCCTGCATCTACCTCACAAGGTTTTGGTAAAGATCGCAGAGAAGGGGAAGACTTGGGCCATATACTATGGTGCAGCCATCTCTTTCATGTTTTGGGTGTTCCTTGAAAACTGGAGAAGGTGAGACATCGACAAGTAAATAAATAACACTCCTTGCGTGCCAGCGGCTCCGTGTTGTGAAATGTTTTCCCCAGGGTGGCAATTGCTAATCCTTTCAGCGAAAGCAAAAGAAAGGACTTGGGTTTAATTGCTGCGAGGTTACATCATGCTCTCTGCTTAAGCAAGCCTTAGATGCGTTCAAGCTAAGGCAGATCACCTTCCCTTAATTGACCACAGATTCTGCAAGGTGAATTGTTGCATGACGTCAGTCACTTCTCCCAAGTTCAAACTCTTGGTTCAAGTGCAGCCCGGAGCGGTGAAACATAAACTAGAATAGGCAGGTGCAAAAATGCAGGGGACGGCCCGGTTTGGTGCATTACCTTATTAGGTGAGTCAGTTTGGTCTAGTGGTGAAGGTGAACCAGGAGATGTTGAGTTCTAGTCCCAGCATGAAAGCTGGCTGGGTCACTTTGGGCCCATTTAACTTTAATTTAGAGTTCTCCAAAGTTTCCCCTCTACGTATGAATACTGCTTGGTGGAGCCCCAGTCTGTAAAATAACAGGACATGAGTCACGGGACAAAATGAGCAGACTTCTCGTTTTGATTTTTACCTTCAGAATTAAGGAGAACAAGTAAAACACACAAAAGAAGTGGAGGAGGAGGAGGAGGAGGAGGAGGAGGAGGAGGAGGAGGAAGAGGAGGAGGAGAAAGGAGAAAGAGAAGATGGTAGAGGAGATGGAGATAGCATGATGGGAGAGAAGGACAAGGAATGATGGTGGAGAAGGAGAAGGAGAAGATGGTGGAGGAGGAGAACGCATGATGGTGGAAGAGAGGGACAAGGAATTATGGTAGAGGAGGAAGAGAAGGAGAAGGAGAAAGAGAAAGAATGGTGGAGGAGGAGGACGAAGAGAAAGAAAACGGGATGTCAATGAAGTGAGCAACCAAGAGGAACTGGACCTACAACCACCCCTTTCGTGAGACACCATATTGTAGGAACCAAAACTGTTCAGCCCAAGAAAAGTTCTTTGGCAAGAAGACTATCCCGCTGCATGCAAATCACGGCTTGGGAAGCAGGTGAGTGAGTGTGTGTGTGCGTGTGTGCCGATGATTAAATAGTCCATTTATCATTGTTTGACATTCAGGGTCTGCCGCCCTGTGCTCAGCCTTTTATGATCTACGCTCATAATCTGCATTAACTATTCTGGGGAAAATGACAATTTAAAATGGCTTAGTGACTGCAGCGCTGGCCTAGTTTTTACATCCAGACTTTTTCTTTTTAAAAAAACAGACCCTGGCACCGAGCCACACAAATACGGAACACAAGCATTTTTTAAAAAAACAAAACCCCAAAACAAGTGGAGGATATTAAATTTAATCTCACAGGTGCTCAGTTAGAATCAAACATCCTTGTTCAAAAGCCACTTTGGGGAAACAGGCTAAAACTGCTGCTACTAATAGGAGGGATCTTCAGTTTGAGATGACACATGTCTGCCAGGAGATCCCCTGATCCTAGCAGGAAAGCCGGTGGGATCTTCAAGAATGTGATCCAAGAGAGCAAGCTGGGAGACACAGCCATGCAATCCAATGTCCCTTGGAAAGGAACGCCTCGCCCAAATTTATACCACCTATGCATTTGTCATGTGGCCTAGTGACTTTAAAACTAATCGCTGTGTATGGAAACTCACCATTATAAAGGAAGTCAGGAACATTTTCCTCTCAAAAGTTCTACCATAACATTAATTTACTCAATTTATGGTAAGCAGAGGTAAAGGAATACAATAGACAGAAGAAGGGTTTTTTTTAATTTAAATGACATTATATTTATTTGAGAGGGCATAATTTTAATGCTTATTTTAATATTATTTTAGTGCTACTTTTTTTTTTAGGAAAAAGAGCTCCTCGGGCAACATAGAAGAAAATTAAAATACATAATAAAACTACTTTATTTAAAATCAGGGCAAGCCTATCCCATTTGGCGGTCTTCATTCGGATGCACGGTATAATCTCTTGAATGAGGAAGTCATACTGGGGTGAAAATTAATGTTTTGGTCATGTTTAATTGGAGACATTTCAGCCTCCTGCATATCTCTAAACTAGCTTGAGCATCAAAGCCAAAACAGCTCCCCATTCATTTTTCTGTCCCATCAAATATCATGTTTCCTTCCTTAAAGGTGATGACAGATTTTACTCCTGGTATCCAAAACGATGTCCTTTATGATAGCCAGGTCATAACATTTTTTTTTAATTGAGGAGAAGGAGAAGGTGGAGCGGAAGGACCAGGAGAAGAAGGAGAAGGAGAAGGTGGAGCAGAAGGACCAAGAGAAGGAGGAGAAGGAGAAGGAGAAGGTGGAGCGGAAGGACCAGGAGAAGGAGGAGAAGAAGGAGAAGGTGAAGTGGAAGAACCAGGAGAAGGAGAAGGAGAAGGAGAAGGAGAAGGTGGAGCGGAAGGACCAGGAGAAGGAGGAGAAGGAGGAGAAGGAGAAGGTGGAGCGGAAGGACCAGGAGAAGAAGGAGAAGGAGAAGGTGCAGCGGAAGGACCAGGAGAAGGAGGAGAAGGAGAAGGTGGAGCGGAAGGACCAGGAGAAGGAGGAGAAGGAGAAGAAGGAGAAGGAGAAGGTGCAGCGGAAGAACCAGGAGAAGGAGAAGAAGGAGAAGGAGAAGGTGGAGCGGAAGGACCAGGAAAAGGAGGAGAAGGAGAAGGAGAAGGTGGAGGGGAAGGACCAGGAGAAGGAGGAAAAGGAGAAGGAGAAGGTGGAGCGGAAGGACAAGGTGGAAGAGGAGGAGAAAGAGAAAGGAAAAGAGCGACCCTCTCCAGTTGTTAGGACTACATATCCCAGGAATGGCCGGACATTCTCGGGCTTGTAGTCCTAACTTGGACCGGCCGCAGGAGGCCGCCCCGAGGACTTGGCTCCTTTTCCCGAGGACAGTTAGATAACGTTCGCAAACAACCCACAAGCCCGGACAATGAACTTTCCACCCCATCCGACACCCGAACTAGAGCTAGTAGTCGCTGCAGCTATAAAACCCCAGGCACTTGCAGAAACCGCCCGGGGGTCCGCAGAAGCGCTCGCCATGGGAGACCCGGTCCTGGGCTGGGCGCTGGGAACCTGGGCGCTGCTCCTGCTGCTCCTGGCCCTGGGGCTGCTGTAAGTGGGGGCTGCTCGAGGCCGGGGGGGGGGTTTAGAGGGGGCAGAGGGAAACGGGGGGAACCCCCTCCCGGAGTTGCAGGACGGGACTGGGGCTTTTGGTGGCGTAAAAGCGCAAGGTGGAGCCGGTTATTGGATCGAAGTTGTGGTAACTTGCGACTCGATTTGATTTCAGGTTTTTGGTTTTTTTTTCTGTTAAAACTTTTCTTCTTCTCTGCTCTCTTCCCCCTCCTCTGCTCCGCTCCGTTCCACTCTACTCAACTCTCCTCTTTTCTTCTTTTATCTCCTCTTCTCTGTTCTTCTCTCTTCTCCGTTCCTCTCTTCTCTCCTCCATTCTTCGCTCCTCTCCTCTGTTCTTCTTGTTGACATTGTCCCGTTGCTCTGCTTCAAGCGACTTTGAACTGCTACGTAGGTGGAAGAGAACTGGAGGTGGAAAACCGCAGGAATTAACACTTTGGTACCCAGGTGGTGGTGGTGGTGGTGGTGGTGGTGGCACAACCCAAGAGGATAAACGCTATCAATGCCATTCTTCCTATATCAACCTTAGTAGCAAGACTAGACCGGGAAATCAACTGCACCAGAAGGCTAGATTTATTTTCATGGGGTTTGTTATAATAACAGGTCATTGTCTCAAGACATGGTTTGTTATAATAACAGGTCATGGTTTGTTATAATAACAGGTCATCCTCAAGACATGGTTTTTCCAGCAAGCGGGCCTGACCTAGGGAGGATTTTAGGTAGGGATAATTTTAAAAGTATTTTAATTGGAAACACAGCTGGTAATATTTGGTTTTAATTCGGCTTTTATCGGGGTTTATTTTTTGTATTTCTGTATTTTTGTATTTTGCATTTTTTTGTATTGTGTGTATATTATTTGTTTTTAATATGCTGTGAACCGCCCTGAGTCCTATGGAGAAGGGCGGTATACAAATTAAATTATCTATCTATCTATCTATCTATTGCACTGGACAGCCTCCTCCCCCTCCTTATAGAGCAGTGAATTAGGGAAGGGTCTGCTTGAGCAGCTTCCAAGTGCTTCCTCCTTTTTCTGGACTTAAAAATGTTTCAGCCCCCCTTACCTGGAAAACCGCTTCTGCACAGCTTTGTCGAGGTCATCTTCCCCATTCTCTGCATCTAGGACATCTTTGCTGTCCTTCAAGGTGGGGTTGATGGACCTTCTGATCTTCTCCACCTGCCAAGCCTTCTTTGTTTGGAACCCAGTGACATTATCCTGCTAATATTCTTTTTTTTTCTTTCAGCTATGGGACCTGGCCGTATAATTTCTTCAAGAAATTGGGAATTCCTGGCCCAAGACCACTGCCTTTTATCGGAAGTTTCCACGAATATCGGCATGTGAGTATATTGTACTGCTTCATATCCCAGTAACCTGTAGACAAACCCAATGGTGAAAAGAGATTGCTTCCTTCCCCCCCCTCCCCCAAGGGGGACATTGTGACTTGAATCACCTCTTCTTTGCCTCCTCAGAAGAAGGTCTGAAAGAATAAAGACTACTAGTATTAAACTGAGGTAGTCCTCAGGCTTATGACTATTCATAGTCATAAGATGAGGACTACCACTAAAGCCATCTGCCTTTCTTTGGCACCTCTCTCAGAATTCCTTGGTGTCCATTCTGAAGATATTGTCCCTGTATCGATTTAACCATATCATCAACAGGGACTCAAGGCTTACTAGTTGAAGGGCTTTTAATAGCTGTTCATACTCTTCCAGTCTCTGTTGAAGAAAGGATTACACTGCCTTGTTTTCACTGATCTCCCTCTTTAACTTGACAGGGTATTCTGCAGTTTGACCAGATATGCTTTGAGAGATACGGCAAACTCTGGGGGTGAGTCACCTGTCAGAATGTCACCTTCATAAGGGAAGGAGCTTTTAATCGGTCTGCAGGATTTAATTTGCTTTTGCTGTCCGAGTAGAGACGTAGGTTGGATAAACTGAGATTCTCATCCTTATTTCCTCCCCTCCTCAAATCCTTAAGAAATAGACAATTGTGCAGAATCACATTTGCAACAAACACATCCCTTTTGATAGCAATAAAGGAGAAGATCTGTAGCTCAAGGTTGAAATGAGGGGTTCTTTGTGCTCTCTGAGCTTGCTTGCTTTCTTGAAGACGTTTCATGACCCAACTAGGGAACATCATTAATGCTAGATTAGTACTAGAAGAAAACAACTAAGGTCAGAGAGCACCAAGGACCCCCCACATCCCTTTTGAGCCAAGAACTGAACTTCAGGACAATGTTCTCTACTTGACTGGCTATTCAGCAGGAAAATAGGAAAACTTGATCCTGTCTCTTTATAAAGATAAACCCTACATTTCAAAACATCTATTTTTGTTTTGACAATCAGACTGTTTGATGGCCGGCAACCTGTGATGGCCATTCTGGATCCCGCCCTCATTAAAAGTGTCCTGGTCAAAGAATTCCATACTTATTTCACCAATCGCCGGGTAGGTATCCAAACGTGAGGCTGTTAGAACTTCACCAGGGCCGAGAAACAGAAGCCCAGCAAGGGAACTGGGAAGAGCAGTTGTGGTTTAGGTGTTGGGCTGGCACTGGGGAGACCTGGGTCCAAGGTCTCCCTGAATCCTGGAAGCCTCCCAAGTGACTTTGGGCCAGTCACTCTTTCTCCACCGAAACTCATGTAGTTGTTGTGAAAGAGATTGGAAGTGGAACAATATGCCATCTTGAGTTCAGAGAGATAGCTACAGTAGGTAGTTATGTAAGTAGGTAGATAGATGATAGACAGACAGACAGACAGACATAGAGATGGAGATGATAGATAGATAGATAGATAGATAGATAGATAGATAGATAGATAGATAGAGAGAGAGAGAGAGAGAGAGAGAGAGAGAGAGAGAGAGAGAGAGAGAGAGAGAGAGAGAGATACAGACAGACAGACTGACTGACTGACTGACTGACTGACTGACTGACTGACTGACTGACATGATAGAGATGATAGATAGATAGATAGATAGATAGATAGATAGATAGATAGATGATAGATAGATAGATAGATAGATAGATAGATAGATAGATAGATAGATAGATAGATAGATAGATAGATAGATAGATAGATAAATGGGAGACATGAGAGAGATGACATACAGCTAATAAAAGCAAATTTAAAGGAAAGGACTGAGAAAGAACAGCATGAAACTTTTCTGTTTTCATTTTCTTTATATTTCCCATTATTCAGAATTTTGGTCTGAATGGCGATCTGGACACAGCCATATTCTTCACTGTCAATGAACAGTGGAAGAGGATTCGCAATACCTGGTCTCCCAGTTTCACCAGTGGGAGGCTGAAGGAGGTAAGCGATGAGGGTTGGATGCCTTTCAGACTTCTCAGCGATTCGTGCCCGCCATTAAATATTGTTAGTGGTTGTTTTTAAGCATGAGAAGACTCACACAGAAGAAAGTAACCCAGATTGAAGTTGCTTCACACCGAGTGATTTGCAAATGGCTATCTGAACCGTCTTATTGGTTTCAGCCTATAAATGGTAGAAGTGTCTACTGCATCTCATACCTTGGTCTTCCTGTCAGATGCTGCCCATCATCAACCATTATCATGAAATCTTGGTGAAGAACCTTCAGAAGAAAGTGGACAATGATGAAGTGATGGATATGAGGCTGTAAGTAGTATCTATGAGAATTTGGTGGAGAGTTTCCCTTTTCTAGCATAAATTTACAAAAGGAGAGTTCGTAACCAAAGCATATAAAAATGATGTTGGACCTGAGGGTTCATAATTTCCATAATACGTGAAATCCCTCATGCAACTATTAAAGGATTCCTGAAATGACCCATTGAATATATCAGGAGGTGGCTTCCAGTGGTTGAACCTCCACACTAGGCTTCTCCTTCTTCCCTCCAGGATCTTTTCAGCCTACAGTTTGGATGTGGTAACCAGCACTTCATTTGGCATCAACGTTGACTCCCTCAACCATCCCAATGATCCTGTTGTTGTGAACATCAAGAAGATCCTCAATTTTAGCTTCCTCAATCCTATTTTAATCTTAACTGGTAAGATGTGTTTGTAGGCCACAGAGGTGAACATCTCTGCTCTGCATCTTGGTTGCTTGCTGGAAAGGCACTCATTCTAGGCTGCACTTCATTCTTGATTCCAACAATATCTGAGTAACATTCCTGTGTTTTCCCCATGTCTTGCACTTTTCATCTTTCCATAAAAATTAGCTGAGAGGAGAAAAGAAAAGAAAAATCAGACTGGGTGTTTCATGGCTGAGAAAAGTTGTTTTGCCACTAATTGTTCAGTACCTAAGATCCTTCACTAGAAATTTAGACCTTCTTTCCCTAAACTAACATTACTCAAGGTCTTCATTGGCTACCATCCCAACCTGTGTTGGTTGGTAAATTATGGGGAAAGTACGGTAGAAGAAAACTTTTGCAATAGCTATTCAAGCTATAGCTTTATTAAATTTCTAGTCTAACGAAGAGAAGGACGAGGGGGGACATGATAGCAGTGTTCCAATCTCTCAGGGGCTGCCCCAAAGAAGAGGGAGTCAAGCTATTCTCCAAAACACCAGAAGGCAGGACAAGAAGCAATGGATGGAAACTAATCAAAGAGAGAAACAACCTGGAAGTAAGGAGAGGTTTCTTGACATGGAGAACAATTAACCAGAGGTTGTGGATGTTCTATCACTGGAGGCTTTTAAGAAGAAATTGGACAGCCATTCGTCTGGAATATAGGTTTCCTGCCTAAGCAGGGGGTTGGACTAGAAGACCTTCAAGATCCCTTCCAACTCTATTATTATTATTATTATTATTATTATTATTATTATTATTATTGTTGTTGTTGTTGTTGTTGTTGTTGTTGTTGTTTTGTTTTGTTTTGTTTTGTGTTGTTGTTATTATTATTATTATTATTTTACTCAATCAATTTTACCCTGCCTCGATCAGTATTGCAACTCTCTCACAATAGACCTGCAACTTTGCTAGAGTCTTTCTCCTAAAACAAATAAATAAACAAAAAAGCTATTGGGAGCTTCCTGCTGTGTTTTTCTCACTGTGTTGCAGCTTGGTTGTGTTCAGGCAAATGATCTGTTTTTTTTCCCCACTCCCCCACCCTTCCCCCAGTTCTTTTCCCATTCCTTACTCCAGTGCTGGAAAAGCTCAACTTTAGCGTGTTTCCCAAGTCTTCGATAGACTTCTTCAATGGTGTCGTCAAAAAAATCAAAGAAGATCGACAAAAGGAGAACCACACGGTCAGTCTAGACTATTTGTCTCGTGGTTGGTCTTGTTCCGTGGCCTTTGTGACCTGGATTTTGTGCACTCGGTGTATGTTTGTGCATGCCAGGCAGGTTTCAGAACTTCACATTGAGTTTCAAATACCTTCTAATAAAGGAGAATATTTGTAGCTCAGGGTTGACAAGGGGGATCCTTGGTACTCTCTGAACTTGGCGGTTTTCTTGCAGACCTTTCATGGCCCAACAAGGTAATGTCATCAGTGCTATGATGATGAAACCTCACTCCCATCCAGCCCTGATGACATTACCTAGTTTGGATAATGAAACATCTGCAAGAAAAACAAGCAAGCTCAGAGAGCACCTCAAACACCTTTGAAGTCTACAATGGGCAATTGGAGCCATCAATGTTAGTTGTATCTCCTTAATGACAGTTTTGGGGTCTCTCTACCATTCCAGAACCGGGTTGACTTTCTGCAGCTCATGGTGGACTCTCAGGCTGCAGCCAACACCTCCGGGGAGGCAAATTCAGAGAAAGGTAAAGTTACAGATCTTGCTTTTGAAAGGAAAAAAAAAGGTTGCTTGGGGCATATTGATGTGCACGGATGAACTCAAAATAAACATTAGCAAATGATGCTGAAGCCACGAGGCGCTGGGAGAAAGGATGGATCAAATATGTTGTAGGTTGGATGCTATGCACAAAGGCCGGCTTTACTGACATGGGATCAGAATGTTGATTACAGAGAAGGCTTCGCCTGAAAGATAATGAGATAAGAGACAATAGATGGGCAAGACACCTACATCACTCCTTCAAGTGATTATCACCTTGAATTTGCAGCTTACCTGTCTACGTTAGGTCACCCTGGTGCAGAAGGGGTGCAACTTTAACTTCAAACCTCTTTTAAGTCCTCTTGCTCTTCACACATGCCTCCTAGAACAGAGTCCCAAGGAGATCAAAAATGCTTCTATTTTAAATTGGTCACCCTTCCAATATAACGTTAAACTATAACTAATCGTGTCTACAGTTTATTAACCTTAGTGTCAGCTTCAAACTTTGATTTTTCCCCCGGCAAAATATAGTTTCCTTTAGCCGAAGTGAGTTTGAAAGAATAGATAGAAGACAAAGAGAGGATTCTAAAGACTTTGTTTAAGTTTAATGTTGATTAAAATTACATCTTTATCTGCTCTTCCTACCCTGTGCTAATATTCAAACTGTCCCACAATTTGATAGATGTGTTCATTTGATCAAACTAGTGTTTGGTATTTTAGTTTTCCCTGCAGCTGCAAATACAACTGCTGACTTTCTTCGTATGATGAGAGAGAAAGCTGTTTAAAACTGTTGATCAAATCAGATCCCTGGGATAATTGTGTTACCCTGAAAGCCACAAGTCAATTTGAGATATTTGCTAGCGTGTATGTGTGTGTGTGTGTGTGTGTGTGTGTGTGTGTGTGGTGTAATAGTGAATGTTGAGCAGATTATCACCAGCTTTTTCTATGCTTTCTTTTCGTGTCTGACAGCTTTAACAGACAAAGAGATTTTGGCCCAGTCAATAATTTTTATTTTTGGTGGTTATGACACCATCGGTATCACACTCAGCTTCGTATCTTATTGTCTGGCCACCCATCCTGATGTTCAAGAGAAATTGTATCAAGAGATCAATGAAACGTTTCCCAATCAGGTAAGAATTTATTGTGTCTTATACATCTATGTTATCTGAGGATGGATCGTTTTAGGAGCTGTCCCACCAGCCCCACACATGCAGACTTCAAGCTAACAACTTTATTATGTTCTGTCTGTAATACAGGAATCTCCCCAGGCTGGCAGCCAACTCCTGGGAACAATTAGATAAGGCTCCAAGGAACTTAGGGGGTGAAGGGTCCTAGCCCCTTTGTAGTTGTGCAGAGACTCCAAGCTAATTCCTTGTTTGATCCTTCCTCTCTGTCAAGTTGGGTGCTTCCCAAAAGTAGCAGATGTAGAAGAGCAAAACCAGATTCTTGTTCTGACAGGACAGGACTTCTTCTCCTTACTGCAAAGATTACAAAACTGAAATGTAAACCTTGAGGAGGTGGGAGATGGCTGGTATTCTATGATTCCTGTTGTGCGAGAACATTTTCTTTAGGATTCCAGTTCTGATCCTTTGCTTCTAAACCACCTCTTGTACACCAGAATGTTATTTATTTGGTTTGGTTTTGATCTTTTATGTAGGCCCCTCCCACTTATGAGGCCATCCAACATATGGAATATCTAGACATGGTGGTGAATGAAACATTTCGTCTTTACCCTCCGGCGGAACGTCTTGATAGAGTTTGCAAAAAGACAGTGGAAATCCATGGAGTGACCATCCCAGAAGGGACCGTGGTTGTTGTCCCTGTTTTTGTCTTGCATCGTGTCCCGGAATATTGGCCTGAGCCCGAGGAGTTCAGACCTGAGAGGTATGTTGTGAGCAACACCGTTCTTCTGAAACTAGTGAATAAGGGACACAGCACCGTGAAGGCATCAGGGAGCAACGTGTTGGCTGTAACATCTCAAATGAGAGGTGGATCATTCTTTGACATCAACAATGTCATGCAGGGCTTTTTTTTATGATCCACATCCATAAACTGTGGTTGGAACTTAATTAAGTTCCAGTGGAGAAAATGATAGCTAAGCTGACTGTAGCAGCTGAGACAATGGCTTGGTTTAATGTCCCAACAACTGAACGAAAAGCTGTAGGGCAACTGGCATCGAGCCACACTGATAGGAGTAGAAGAGAAAAGTTATATGAAGGAAATTATATTTAATCTTCTATCTTAGAAGATAGTTAGAAAATATTTTCCTTTTGAACACGGCTGGTTGGGCCAAAATATGGGAGATAGGGTCTGTTGACTTACATTGTAGCTGTCATGAATTGGATATCATAATAGACTCTAAGATTCTGGGGTGTAACTCCTCGACAAGCCCACATTAATTAAGCGGAAACTACTTTTACACATTTCTCTTTATTGTTCCTCATCTGCAGACAGAATCTTGCCAAACTAAAGCAACTGCCTACATCATTAAAAATATACTTGTCACATACATTGTTGCAATTCAGAAGATGTATTGCTGAAGTTTACACACAAGAATCTAGTCAACTAAAGTTCAACACTAAATTGGCACCAGATAACGGTCAATGCAGATTGTGGGGTTGAACTTAGACCGTGGAGACATAATGACTCCAGGCTAATGACCACCCCCCCACCCCAGCCATGAGCACTCTTCTCCTAAAATACAGAAACGTTGCTCAGCCATGATTTTTCTCTGATTTGCAAATAGGTTTAGCAAAGAGAACAAAGAGAGCCGAGACCCGTATGTCTTCCTCCCTTTCGGAGCGGGTCCCAGAAACTGCATCGCTATGCGTTTCGCCCTCCTGGTGCTGAAAATGGGTCTGGTGGTTGTGCTGCAAAAAATTCGCTTCCAAACTTGCAAAGAGACAACGGTGAGTCAGGTTTGTTTTTTTTTACAGGGGAACAACTTCATTTCATTTCATTTCATTTTATTTGATTTATATCCCGCCCTTCTCCCAACGGGACTCAGGCGCCGAGTGTTGTATAAATTTTGTTTTTGTATGGGTGTTAGGGGCGGATTATTTTGGTTTAATTTTGGTTTATAAAATCTCAACACCACAATTTTAAAAGATTTTTTGGGTTAAATTTTAGGAGGGATCCGGTCCGCCGCTTGTTGGAAAAGCCATGTCTTGAGGGCGCGGCGGAAAGTAAGGAGATCCGGAATCGTCCAGATCTCAGGGGGTAGTTCGTTCCAGAGGGCAGGGGCACCCACAGAGAAGGCCCTCCCCCTGGGGGTCGCCAGCCGACATTGCTTGGCCGACGGCACCCTGAGGAGACCCACTCTGTGGGAGCGTACCGGTCTATGGGAGGGAATCTGTGGCAGAAGGCGGTCTCGGAGATAGCCAGGTCCTATGCCATGTGTTGGAAGCAGTCTTCTGCTCGTTCACTGAAGAGTTCACTCAACTGAATTCTGATCTCACATATATGTCTTGTACAAAGACACAAAGAGGTGATGAACGTGAAAGGAAGATCTCTTTGGAAAGACAGGGTCAACTTTTTTGGGATGAGAGTCCACCGTGTGTGTGTGTGTGTGTGTGTATGTGTGTGTGTGTGATTCTGCAATGAATAGCATGGATGGAGAGCCAACTTGTTAACTACATTTCAATTATCATCACTCCATGTGGTTTTGCTTCTATGTCTACTGATAGTAAAGTCCTGTTTGGTGTTCACAACACCAGCGTGAAGGTCCAGACACTCCCTGTGCCCTTGTTAGTTACAACACAAACAGTGGGAAAAGACATTTGAGTTGAACAAAATACTACAGAGGCCTCGTGTAGACAGGTAAAACATTGCTCTTGGTAGTCATCTCAGGCCTCCTTTGAAGAATCACCTCTATTTAATTCCATCTCTGTGATGTTTCTTTCTCCCTTTCTTTCGGTTAATGGGGAAGATCCCTCTGGAGCTGGACAACAGAGGGTTTGTGCAACCAAAGAATCCCATCAAGTTGAAATTGCTGCCCAGAACTGTTGTAGAACATGAAGAATAGAAGATCTGGAGGCTGGAAAGAAGCCGTGGTGTCTCTCTCTCCTCTTTCTTTCTTTCTTTCTTTCTTTCTTTCTTTCTTTCTTTCTTTCTTTCTTTCTTTCTTCCTTCCTTCCTTCCTTCCTCCCATCCTTCCTCTCTTCCTTCCTTCCTTCCTTCCTTCCTTCCCTTCCTTCCTTCCTCCCTTCCTCCCTTCCTCCCTTCTTTCCTTCCTGTTGTGCCTTCATGTCACATAACAGCAGCACTCTGAATCAGTGGAGTTAAATGCCTGTTTAGACATTTCCTCGTGCGATTTTCAAGGAATGTTGGATGCGCCAGTTAATTCTGGGATCCCTCCAGTCTTCACTTCAAAAACAAATAATAATAAACCTGCTTATGTAATACACACATCACTTGATTTTTGAGTGACTGATGGGGTAGAAAGATGATTAAATAAACAGAGGTTTTATGAGGAGCCCCTCTGCCCAGAGAGAGGAAAAGTAGAGGACACCTGTTGGTCATAAAAAGATGTTGGAATAAAAACATGCTTACATCCTGCCTAAATACAGTGAATAGAATAGAATAGAATAGAATAGAAGAGAAGAGAAGAGAAGAGAAGAGAAGAGAAGAGAAGAGAAGAGAAGAGAAGAGAGCTGGAAGGGACCTTGGAGGTCTTCTAGTCCAGCCTCCTGCTTGAGCAGGAGAACCTATATCGTCTCAGACAGACCTATATTGTCTTCTTTGGAGACATTTCACTTCTCATGCAAGAAGCTCCTTCAGCTCTGACTTGGATGGTGGAGGATGGAAGGGTTTATATTCCTTGCAGACAGCTGGTAATTTGCAATCTTTTAGAGAGTCCTTGAGGCCAACTTCACCTCCAAGTGGAGGCCTTTCATTCCCTATTTATTTATTTATTTATTTAAATTTATATACCGCCCTATCTCCCTTACGGGACTCAGGGCGGTGAACAGGCAATAATAAAAATCACAATAAATATTGAATAAAAAGCCTGCTCTAAAATACCCCGTATAAAACCCCTAGCAAAGCCCAATCAAAACTACGCCAGGCCGGCCACATGGAATAGATGGGTTTTCAAGGCTCGGCGGAAGAGGCGCAGGTCCGTAGTTGTACGTAGGTCGGGGGGTAGGTCATTCCAGAGGGCAGGAGCTGCCACAGAGAAGGCTCTCCCCCTGGGGGTCGCCAGCCGGCATTGACTGGCCGACGGCACCCTAAGGAGGCCCTCTCTGTGGGAGCAGACTGGTCGAAGGGAGATATTTGGTAGGAGGCTGTCTTGCAAATACCTAGGTCCATTGCCATGGAGCGCTTTAAAAGTCCCTACCATGAAAGGGATCATAAAATAAAGATAGTCATAGAAAATGATAAAATTAAACTTCTCTGGGACTTCAGAATTCAAACAGACAAGCACCTGCAACATCACACCCCAGACTTAACAATTGTCAATAAGAAATACAAAAAAGTCTGGATAGTGGACGTGGCAGTGCCTGGAGACAGCAGAATAGACGAGAAAGAACTGGAGAAGATAACAAAATACAGAGACCTACAAATAGAAATAGAAAGACTGTGGCAAAAGCAAGCAAGGGTAATACCAATAGTAATAGGCGCCTTGGGTGCAATCCCAAAACAACTGGAGCACCACTTGAACACCATCATCGGCATTGACAAATTCACCATTAGTCAATTGCAAAAGGCGGCCTTACTAGGAACTGCTTCCATCCTGCGACGATATCTGTAATACCATCAAACATCCACATCTGCCTATCCCAGGTCCTGGGTAAGGACTCGATAGGTAGACAAAAATGCCAAATCCAGTCTGAACATCTGGCTGACTGTGCGATGATCATCAACAATAATAATAACAATAAAAATAAAAATAATAATAATGAAAAAGCACAGAAAAAAAATAGAAAGAAAAATAAAAAAGAAAGGAAAAAAAGAAAAAGAAATGCTGTATGTAAGTGGGCAGTGCCCAAGGAGAATGACCGCAATCAGTAGACGCAGTGTTTCTCAACCTTGATAATTTTAAGGCCTGTGGACTTCAACTCCCAGAATTCCACAGCCAGCATTGCTGGCTGTGGAATTCTGGGAGTTGAAGTCCACATGCCTTAAAATTGTCAAGGTTGAGAAACACTGCAGTAGAGGAAGGGATCTCCTAAACCAGGGGTCTGCAACCTTGACAACTTTAAGACTTGTGGACTTCAGCTCCCAGAATTCCTCAGCCAGCATAGCTGAAATCCACAAGTCTTAAAGTTGTCAAAGTTGTCAAGACATGGCTCTTCCAACAAGCGGGCCTGGCCTAGGGAGGATTTTTAAATTGGGTTTTTTAGAAATTTTAATTAGCACAACACTAAAACATTGGTTTTAATTTGGTTTTATTCGGTGGGGTGTGTGGGTCTCTCTTTGTTTTTAATAATGTTGTGAGCCACCCTGAGTCCTTCGGGAGAAGGGCGGGATACAAATTGGAATAATAAATAAATAAATAAATAAATAAAGTTGCAGACCCCTGTCCTAAACCACTGTCCAGATGAGATCCCTCCTTCCCCTTCGCAAGCCTCTTCAGCACCACAACTGGACAGCTCACACAGCCTTTCGTCTGAAACCAGCTGCTTCCCATCAAGACACCTGCCGGATGTTGGCAGCTCCAGCAGGGGGGAAGTTGCAAAATATGGGAAACTACACAGCCTCGGGTTGGCCCGGTACTCCAGGGCTTGTAGTCCTAGCGGGGAGTGGCCCCGGGAGGCCGGGCTTGGCTCCTTCCCCAGGACGGTTATATAACCCCGGGACCTCCCAGACGCAACTCAGAAGCCGTCGAAAAAGCGCTCGCCATGGGAGACCCGGTCCTGGGCTGGGCGCTGGGAACCTGGGCGCTGCTCCTGCTGCTCCTGGCCCTGGGGCTGCTGTAAGTGGGGGCTGCTCGAGACCGGGGGTGTGTGTAGAGGGGGGAGAGGGAAACGTGAAAGCCCCTCCCGAAGTTGCAGGGCTCCCAGCTGGGGCGTTTGGAGAGCGCATTGGGGCTTTTGCTGGCGTAAAAGCGGAAGGTGGAGCCGGTTCTTGGATTGTAGTTGTGTTAACTTGTGACTTGACTTGATTTTAGTGTTTTTTTTTCTGTTAAAACTTTTCTTCTTTTATCTCCTCTCTTGTTCTCTCTTCCCCTTTCCTTTCTTCTCCTCTTCTTCTGCTGTCCCCGTCTCACCTCACCTCTTTTCTCCTCTCCTCTCTTCTCCTTTCTTTTCTTCTCTTCTGCTCTCCTCTCCTCTCCTCCTTTCTCTTGTCTTCCCTTCCCCCCTTCTACTCGCTGCTTGGCTCTCCTCTCTTCTTCTTTCTGACTTCCTCTACTCCAAGTGACTTTGAGCTATGTGGGAAAGGATAGGAGGTGAAAAAGCACCTGACCTGTGGTATCGATGCCATTCTCACTATGTCAACCTTAGCAACAAGACTACACCAAGAAATCAACTGCACCAGAAGGCTAGATTTACTTTTATGGAGTTTGTTCTAATAACAGGTCATTGTCTTATTGTGCTGCACAACATCCTCCTCCTCCTCCTCCTCCTCCTCCTCCTCTTTATGCAGTGTCTGCTTGAGCAGCTTCCAAGTACTTTCTCCTTTTTCTGGACTTAAAAAAAAGTTTCAGCCCCTTTTACCTGGAAAACCGCTTCTGCACAGCTTTGTCGAGGTCATCTTCCCCCTTCTCTGCATCTAGGACATCTTTGCTGTCCTTCAAGGTGGGCTTGATGGACCTTCTGATCTTCTCCACCTGCCAAGCCTTCTTTGTTTGGAACCCAGTGACATTATCCTGCTGATATTCTTTTCTTTTTTTGTCTTTCAGTTATGGGACCTGGACATTTAATTTCTTTAAGAAGTTGGGAATTCCTGGGCCAAGGCCGCTGCCTTTTATCGGAACTTTCCATGAATATTGGCACGTGAGTGTGTTGTCCTGTTTCACATCCTAGTAGCTTGTAGACAAATCCAAGGACTTTGGAAGACAAGGAGTCTTTCCTAAGGGAGATATTGTGACTTGAATCACCTCTTCTTGGCCTCCTCAGAAGAAGAGCCGAGAGAATAAAGGCTACCAGTACAGGTAGTCCTCAGCTTATGACCATTCATTGCAGTCGTAAGATGAGGACTACCACTAAAGCCATCTGCCTTTCTTTGGCACCTCTCTCAGAATTCCTTGGTGTCCATTCTGAAGATATTGTTGCTGTATCGGTTTAACCATATCATCAACAGGGACTCAAGGCTTACTAGTTGAAGGCCTTTTAATGGCTGTTCATACTCTTCCAGTCTCTGTTGAAGAAAGGATTACACTGCCTTGTTTTCACTGATCTCCCTCTTTAACTTGACAGGGTATTCTGCAGTTTGACCAGATATGCTTTGAGAGATACGGCAAACTCTGGGGGTGAGTCACCTGTCAGAATGTCACCTTCATAAGGGAAGGGGCTTTTAATCGGTCTGCAGGATTTAATTTGCTTTTGTTGTCCGAGTAGAGATGTAGGTTGGATAAACTCTCTGTAATTACTGAGATTCTCGTTCTTATTTCCTCCCCTCCTCAAACCCTTAAGGGGTAGACAATTGTGCAGAATCACATTTGCAACACACACATCCCTTTTGATAGCAATAAAGGAGAAGATCTGTAGCTCAGGGTTGAAATGAGGGGTTCTTTGTGCTCTCTGAGCTTGCTTGCTTTCTTGAAGACGTTTCATGACCCAACTAGGGAACATCATTAATGCTAGATTAGTACTAGAAGAAAACAACTAAGGTCAGAGAGCACCAAGGACCCCCACATCCCTTTTGAGCCAAGAACTGAACTTCAGGACAATGTTCTCTACTTGACTGGCTATTTAGCAGGAAAATAGGAAGCCTTGATCCTGTCTCCTTATAAAGATAAAGCCCGCATTTCAAAACATCTATTTTTGTTTTGACAATCAGACTGTTTGATGGCCGGCAACCTGTGATGGCCATTCTGGATCCCGCCCTCATTAAAACCATCCTGGTCAAAGAATTCTATACTTATTTCACCAATCGCCGGGTAGGTATCCAAACATGAGGCTGTTAGAACTTCACCAGGGCTGAGAAACAGAAGCCCAGCAAGGGAACTGGGAAGAGCAGTTGTGGTTTAGGTGTTGGGCTGGCACTGGGGAGACCTGGGTCCAAGGTCTCCCTGAATCCTGGAAGCCTCCCAAGAGACTTTGGGCCAGTCACTCTTTCTCCGCCGAAACTCATGTAGTTCTGAAAGAGATTGGAGGTGGAACAATATATATGCCGTCTTGAATTCCAGAACAGCAGTAGATATCTGGCTATCAATTAGATAGACAAATTATAGAGAAGATTAGATAGATAGACAGACAGACAGACAGACAGACAGACAGACAGACAGACAGACAGACAGACAGACAGACAGACAGACAGACAGACAGAGACAGACAGACAGATAGAATAGACATTTCTGTTTTTATTTTCTTTATATTTCACATTTCTCAGGACTTTGGTCTAAATGGAAATCTGGACACAGCCTTAACCATCGTTGTTGATGAAAAGTGGAAGAGGATTCGTAGTGCCTTGTCTCCCACTTTCACCAGTGGGAGGCTGAAGGAGGTAAGAGGTGAGGGTTGCCAGTCCTGGGTGCATTTCATCCTTTTCAACAATTCTTGCAACTCAGCCTGGCATTAATAATTGTCCGTGGTTGATTTTAAGTGAGCCCTTCTTCGTTAGCATAGAGGAAGCCCCCATATACTAGATTGGGCTAGGCTTTCTTCCAGCTTTGGAATGATTGAGCTTTGGAAGTTCTCTCTATGAAAAAGAGCTGATTCTGCTCATCTTCAAAACTCTTAGCTGAATTTTAGAAGCAGCTAACATTTGTACGTCCTTATGATCCACCAGCCTCACTGAATGGGATCTAGTTTAATATCTTGACATGCACAATGCTTACAGCAAATGAAGAAACAGCTATCGAATCAGCAAGCTATGACATTTAAGATTATAATAAGGCAACTTGTTGGTTTCATTCTATAAATGTTTAAAGTGTCTTCAGCATCCGGTACGTTGGTCTCCCTTTCAGATGCTGCCCATCATCAACCATTATAATGAAATCTTGGTGAAGAACCTTCAGAAGAAAGTGGAGAATGATGAAGTGATAGATATGAAGTTGTAAGTATTATCTAAGGAACTGGGTAGGGATCATCCTTTTTCTAACAGAAATTTACAGAAGGAAAATTTGTAACCCAGACATATCAAAATGGATTCACATTTTCCATAATACACGAAATCCCTTGTGCAATTATTAAGGGTTCCCTGAGATCATCTATTGAATGTATTATGAGGTGGCTTCTAATAGTTGAACCACCACGCTATGCTTCTCCTTCTTCCCTCCAGGATGTGGTAACCAGCACTTCATTCGGTGTCGATATTGACTCCCTTAACAATCCCAACGATCCTATTGTTGTGAACATGAAGAAGTTCCTCAAAATTAGCTTCTTCAATCCTGTTTTAATTTTCGCTGGTAAGATATCTTTGTAGGCCACAGAGGTGGACATCTCTGCTCTGCATCTTGGTTGCTTGCTGGAAGGGCATTCCGTATAGGCTGCACTTCATTCTTGACATCTGATGGAGGATTCAGATGACATCTTTGTAAAATGCTCATGTTTTCCTCCATATCTTCCACTTTTCTTCTTCTCTTTCCATAAACTTTAGTTGAGAAGAGGAGAAAGAAAAATCAGAAAGTGTGTTTTATGGTTGAGAAAGGTTATTTTGCCACTATCTCACACTAGCTGTTCAGTATCTGAGCATCGTGATTAGAACTTTAGAACTTCTTTCCATAAACTAGCAACACCCAAGGTCTTCACTGGCTAACGTTCCAAATCTGTGTTAGTTGTTAATAATAGGGCCAGTAATTTAGGAGTCCGTTGGGTAGAAGGAAGTTATTGTAGTTGCTGCTGAAGCTGGTAATTTTATTAAACATCATTTATTTATTTACTGACTTGATCAGTTTTAGTGTGCCTCAATCACAATTGTAACCTTCTGATGAAATCACTGTTGCAACTACAATTTTGCTAGACTCTCTCTCCTCCACAAAACTATTGGAGGCCTCTCACTGGGTTTTTTTTTCTTGGTGTGTTGCAGCTTGGTTGTGTTCACACAAATGATTTCTTTGCTTTTTCCCACCCCCACCCCTCCCCCAGTTCTTTTCCCATTCCTTATTCCACTGCTGAACCAGCTCAACCTGAGTATATTCCCCAAGTCTCCGGTAGACTTCTTCTTTGATGTCTTCAAAAAAATCAAAGCAGATCGACAAAAGAAGAATCACACGGTCAGTCTAGACTATTTGTCTCATGCTTGCTCTTGTTTCGTGGCCCTTGTGACCTGGATTTCGTGTTCTTGGTGTCTGTGTGTGCCAGGCAGGTTTCAGATCTGCCACTTGAGTTTTAAACACCTTCTAAGTCTACAATGGGCAACTGGAGCCATCAATGGTAGTTGTATCTCCTTAATGACAGTTTTTGGGTCTCTCTATCATTCTAGAACCGGGTTGATTTTCTTCAGCTCATGATGGACTCTCAAGCTGCAGCCAACACCTCTGGGGAGGCAAATTCAGAGAAAGGTAAAATTACAGATCTCATGTTTGAAATAAAAATAAGGTTGCTTGGGGCATATTGATGTGCATGGATGAACTCAAAATAAACATTATTGAAGGATGCTGAAACCACCAGGCACTGGAAGAGAGGAAGAGTGAAATATATTGTGGTTTGAATGCCATGCACAAAGGCCAGATTCACTGAAAGGGATCAGAATGTTTGATGAGAGAGAAGGCTGGTCTTGAAAGATAATGAGATAAGAGACAATGGATGGATAACACCCTACAGGATTCCTTAGATTGTCACCTTGAATTTGCAGCTTACCTGTCTACTTTAGGTCATTGTGATCTAGAAGGAGTTCAACTTTAACTTCAAACATCTTCCTTTAGGTTTTTTCGCTCTCTATGCCTGCCTCTTAGAACAGAGTCAAGAGAAGAAGATCAAATGTTCCTACTTTAAATTAGTCGTCATTCAAATATAGCGTTAAACTACAATTAAGCTTGTCTATGGCTTATTGACAGTATCAGCTTCAAAATTTGTGTGCTTTCTGCAAAATATAGTTAACAGTAGTTGAAGTATCCCAAAGATGTTTTTTCACAAGGCAACTGAACTTTCTTGTTTTTCTTGGGGGGGGGGGAGACAGAGAGAGAGAGAGAGAGATTTGAAGATGTTGATCAAATCAGATCCCCTGGATAATTGTGTTACCCTGAAAGCCACAAGTCAATTTGAGATATCTCCTCTAGTGTACGTGTGGTGTAACAGTGAATGTTGTGCTGATGATCACCAGCTTCTTCTGTGCTTTCTTTTCTCATCTGATAGCTTTAACAGACAAAGAGATTTTGGCCCAGTCAATTATTTTTATTTTTGGTGGCTATGAGACCATGGGATCCTCCCTCAGCTTCACGTCTTATTGTCTGGCCATGCACCCCGATGTTCAAGAGAAATTGTACCAAGAGATCAATGAAACTTTTCCCAATCAGGTAAGGCTCTTTTTGGCTCTATGACTCTCTTGGTTGAGAATGGGTCATTTTAGGAGCTGCCAAGCATGAACAACCAGACCCACACATGCAGAGTTCACATTAGCTACTTTATTATGTTCTGCCTGTAGTACAGGAATTTCCCCAGTCTGGCAGCCAACCCCTGGGAATAATTAGATAAAGCTCAAGGAACTGAAGTGGGATCAGCCCTGGCTCTTTTGTGATACACAGTGATTCCAGACTAGCTCCTTGCTTGATCCCTCCTCCCGGCCAGGTTGGGTGCTTCCCAAGAGTGGAGATGTGTTCATCCAGAAGAGCAAAACCAGAGTCTTCTTCTGACAGAATATATATATTACAGTTTTGATCCCTTGGTTCCAGATCACTTCTTATATACCTAGAATGTCATATTATTTTATTTTTGTCTTGTTTTGTCCTTTTGTGCAGGACCCTCCCACTTATGAGGCTGTCCAACAAATGGAATATCTAGATATGGTGGTGAATGAAACACTTCGTCTTTACCCTCCTGGGTCACGACTTGAGAGAATTTGCAAAAAGACAGTGGAAATCCATGGAGTGACCATCCCAGAAGGGACCGTGGTTATGATTCCTGCTTATGTCCTACATCGGGTCCCGGAATATTGGCCTGAGCCCGAGGAGTTCAGACCTGAGAGGTATGTTGTGAGCAACACCATTCTTCCGAAACTATTGAATAAGAGACACAGCACCGTGAAGGCATCAGGGGGCAACGTGTTGGTTGTAACATCTCAAATGAGATGTGGATCATTCTTTGACATCTACAATGTCACACATGGCTTTTTTTATGATCCACATCCATAAACTGTGGTTGGAACTTAATTAACTCTAGTGGAGAAAATGATGGCTAAGCTGACTGTAGCAGTTGACACAATGGCTTGGTTTAATGTTTCAGCAACTGAACAAAAAGCTGTAGGGCAACTGGCATCGAGCCACATTGATAGGAGTAGAAGAGAAAAGTTATATGAAGGAAATTATATTTAATCTTCTATCTTAGAATATAGTTAGAAAATAATTCTCTTTTGAACAGGGATGGGTGGGCCAAAATATGGGAAATAGGGTCTGTTGACTTACATTGTAGCTGTCACTAATTGGATATCATAATAGCCTCTAAGATTCTTGGGCATATCAACTAAAGTTCAACACTAAATTGGCACCATATAAGGGTCAACGCAGACCGTGGGGTTGAACTTAGACCGTGGGGACATAATGACTCCAGGCTAATGACCACACCACACACACCCCCCAGCCATGAGCACTCTTCTACTAAAATACTCTGAGAATTGCTAGAGAAAGGCCATCTTAATTCTCTTCCTGCCAACCAAACTATCTAAACTTCACTTTCTCTGGACTGTCCTCTGGAATGCACCCCCTCCCTTCTGGGAATCCAGACTACATTCCACTACACCAGATCAGCCAAAGAACCACCATCATGTCTCTCCACAAACTATCTTTCTTTATGGGTCTCAGTCCAGTTTATCCAGCAGGGAAGGAGCAAAGTGTGTCTTAGTTACAGAACTGAAGTACAGCCTATTGGGAATAGTAGCTTTATTCAGCTGTGATATTTTTTTTCTGATTTGCAAATAGGTTTAGTAAAGAGAACAAAGAGAGCCGAGACCCGTATGTCTTCCTCCCTTTCGGAGCGGGTCCCAGGAACTGCATCGCTATGCGTTTCGCCCTCCTGGTGCTGAAAATGGGTCTGGTGGTTGCACTGCAAAGATTTCGCTTCCAAACCTGCAAAGAGACACCGGTGAGTCCTATTTACCACTTGGGTTAGAAGCTGGTTCTTGTTCGTTCGCTGAAGAGTTCACTCAGCTGAATTCTTATCTCACATATATGTCTTGTTCAAAGACACAAGGAGTTGATGAATGTGAAAGGAAGATCTCTTTGGAAAGACAGGGTCATCTTTTTGGGGTGAGAAACCCAGTCCATCCCATGTTTGTGTGTGTGTATGTGTGTGTGTGTGTGAGAGAGAGAGACAGAGAGTGTGTGAGAGGGAGCTAGAGAGAGATTCTCCAATGAAGAGGTTTTGTTTCTACGCCTACTGAGAACAGAGTCTTGTTTGGTGCTCACAGCAGAGTGAAGCTCCCTGGACACTCTCTGTGCCTTTGTCAGTTGCAACCCAGACAGTGGGGGAAAAGTGTTTGAGTTGAACAAAATACAACCGAGGCATTGTGTAGGGAAAGGAAAAGGCATCTATGTAAAACATGATTGTTGTTAGTGGAATTGCCTCTATTTAATTCCATCTCTGTGATGTTTTCTTTCTCCCTTTTTTCTGGTTAATGGGGAAGATCCCCTTGGAACTGGACATCAAAGGGTTTATGCAACCAAAGAAACCCATCAAGTTGAAGTTGGTGCCCAGAACTGTTGTGGAACATGAGGAATAGAAGATCTGCAAAGAGGTCACAAAAAGATTTCACAATAAAAACATGCTAGCATCCGGCCTAAACACAGTTTTTGAATGATACAATCATTGCAAACTCTACCAGGGAAAATCCCTGAGGTTTTCAGCAGCTTTAATCTCACCAGGAAACGTCGGATATTAAACTAGGGACCTTCTATATATCAAGTGGATGTTCTCCACCAAGCCATTTCTCAAGACCTGGAATAATGCTCACCATAAAAGATGACCTCATGCCATTACGCAACGCCGTCTGTGTGTCAATCAGATGATGTAATAAAGTTAGGGGGAGGGAAACATTTTTGCCTCTTTTAAGAGGAAGAACTTGGCATGGTGGTTGAAGTGGTCTAAGATTTGGTTAGGTCCTTGGTGCTGTCTGAACTTGCTTGTTGGTCCCGAAAGGATTTCACAATAAAAACATGCTTACATCCTGCCTAAACACAGCTTTTGAATAAGACAGTCATTGCAAACTATCAGGGAAAATTCAAGAAGCTCCTTCAGCTCTGACTGAATGGTGGAGGATGGAAGGATTTATATTCCTTGCAGTCATCTGGTCGTTGGGGCTCTCTCTGAGAGTTGTTGAGGCCACTTCACCTCCAAGTGGAGCCCTTCCATTCCCCACCCTCCAGTCAGAGCTGAAGAAGCTTCTTGGATGAGAAGCGAAACGTCTTCAAAGAAAAAACAAGAACGTCCATTTGCCTCTTGAAAAAGCACCCTTGGATCTTACTAGGAATCTGTTCCTACTCCGTACAGTTTTGACCATCACTTTAGGATAGGTAATCAGGATAACTCAAGTTCAGCAGGGCCCCCATTTGCTTTTCTAATAATAATAATCAAAGATGAAGTTAGGATGCAGCCTAACTTCAAATCAGCTTCTACTGGTCATCTTTGGCCATGATTGTTGAAATGTCCTGCTCTTGGCTCAAACCAAAGCGCTAAGGCACCCGCCATATTGGTAAAATAGGGACTTAATTGTAGTTCTCGATCCAGGCATTTCCATACAGTTTTTTTTTCCAGTGCACCTCTAACCATGATCTAAAGGGAGTCTTTGTTTATGAAAGCGCTCTCAACTTGACAGTGCATAATTCACAGCAGCTTCCCTGGTGGAATCGCCCTGGCAGTTAGTAAAAGGGGTCTGGAATCTTTGACGAAGGAGACTTTAATGACGAGGGGATCCAGAGTGGCCCTGGCTGGCTGCCGGCCATCAAAAATTCAGAGAAAAAAGGAAGAAAAGAAATCAATCATTCTTTGGTTATGAATGGCTGTTCCGCATTCTTTCTCCTCCCAGCAAGGCCGTAGGAAATTGTGTGGAAGATCCATCATTTGCAGAACAAATCATCCAAAATAGATCATCCCAACTGTCCAATTTGCATAATTTATAAAGGGTGCAGAATATTGATTGAGCTACATATTTTTATTTATTTTTTTCCTTCTGGCCCTTGGGAATGAACACCCATGAGGATAAGAAAGCTGTTTTGGTGTCTACAGAAGAAAAAATAAGTTGATGCGCCATTCTTCTTCTTAGTGTGCGAGATTTCAAGAAATGTTGGATAAAAACGAAGAGGCCGTCTTAATAAAGTTTCTTGCAGTCTCACAGAACGAAATGAAAGAAGAAAAAAAGTGTCATTTGGATACTTTGCAAGCGTTTGATGTTTTTTTGAAATAGTTGCATCGGAAATTACAATTAAATAGTTGAAAATTAATACAAACTAACAAATAAATGAAAAATAAAAAGTACAGAAAAGAAAAATTGAAAAGAAAAGAAAGGCAAAAAAGAAAAGGAAAGAACAGGGCCCAAATGAGAACCCCCCCCCCTCTCCTTCGCAAACCTCTTCAGGACCACACAGCTCACACAGCCTTCTTCTGAAACCAGCTGCTTCCCACCAAAACACCTGCTGGATGTTGGGGTGTCCAGCAGTGGGGAAGGGGCAAAATAGGGGAAACTCTGCTTCAAGCACACCCAACCAGAATTTAGCTCCTAGAAGAATTGACCCTCCAGTAGACACAGAGACCCCCCAACGAGTTTGGAGAGGGAAACTGGGCAACGAGGGCTGCATTGGGGTGCAAAGAGAGGGGGTTTCCTGCTTGGGTGCAAGGGGGGGGGTCTCAGAAAGGGGGAAAGACCCGACTCCTCTCTCTGCTGGGTGCCAACAGAGGCCAAATCTGCCTGGGCTGCTGGCCAACAGAACACCAGAAAAAGGAGAAGTTTCCATCCAGGTATGAATACTGCTTGGTTGAGCCTCAGTCCGCAAAAGAACAGGAAACGAGTCACGGGATAAAAAGAGCAGACTTCTCATTTTGATTTTCAGAATGGACTAAAAGAAAACACCAGAAAAAAAGAGAAGGAATAATGGAGAAGGAGAAGGAGAAGGAATGGTGATAGAGGAGGAGGAGGAGGAGGAGGAGGAGACAGGAAGAGTAGGAAAAGGAGAAAGAAGATGGTGAAGGAGAAGAGAAGGAATGATGGCGGAGAAGGAGAAGGAGCAACCCTCTCCAGCTGTTAGGACCACGTAGTCCTGGGCTGGCCCGGTACTCCAGGGCTTGTAGTCCTAGCGGGGAGTGGCCCCGGGAGGCCGGCCCGAGGAGGAGTCCCGGGCTTGGCTCCTTCCCCAGGACGGTTATATAACCCCGGGACCTCCCAGACGCGACTCAGAAGCCGTCGAAAAAGCGCTCGCCATGGGAGACCCGGTCCTGGGCTGGGCGCTGGGAACCTGGGCGCTGCTCCTGCTGCTCCTGGGCCTGGGGCTGCTGTAAGTGGGGGCTGCTCGAGACCGGGGGTGTGTGTAGAGGGGGGAGAGGGAAACGGGAAAGCCCCTCCCGGAGTTGCAGGGCTCCCAGCTGGGGCGTTTGGAGGGCGGATTGGGGCTTTTGGTGGCGTAAAAGCGGAAGGAGGAGCCGGTTCTTGGATCGAAGTTGTGTTAACTTGTGACTTGAGTTGATTTCAGGTTTTTTTTCTGTTATTTTTTTTTTCTTTTCTCCTTCTCCTCTTCTCCTCCTTCTCTCCTCTCCTCTCAGCTGTCCTGTGCTCTCTTCCTCTTTCCTTTCTTCTCTTCTTCTGCTGTCACCTCTCCTCTCCTCTCTTTTGTCTCCTCTCCTCTCCCCTCTTCTGCTCTCTTCTCATTTCCTTTCTCCTCCTCTTCTTCTGCTCTCCCCCCTCCTCTCCCCTCCCCTCCCCTCCTTTCTCTTATCTTGTCTTGCCTTCTCCCTTCTTCTCTCTGCTCTGCTCTCCTCTCGTCTTCTTTCTGACTTGCTCTACTTCCAGTGACTTTGAGCTCTGTGGGAAAGGATAGGAGGTGAAAAACCACATGATACACCCAATATTCACCCTGCGAGGCTAATTAATAGCTATCAATGCCATTCTCACTATGTCAACCTTAGTAGCAAGACTAGACCAGGAAATCAACTGCAGTAGAAGGCTAGATTTAGTTTTATGCAGTTTGTTATAATAACAGATCATTGTTTTATTGTGCTGGACAGCCTCCTCCTCCTCCTCCCCTCCCCCTCCTTATAGAACAGTGAAATAGGGAGTGTCTGCTTGAACAGCTTCCAAGTACTTTCTCCTTTTTCTGGACTTAAAAAAAAGTTTCAGCCTCTTTTACCTGGGAAACCGCTTCTGCACAGCTTTGACAAGGGCATCTTCCCCATTCTCTGCATCTAGGACATCTTTGCTGTCCTTCAAGGTGGGCTTGATGGACCTTCTGATCTTCTCCACCTGCCAAGCCTTCTTTGTTTGGAACCCAGTGACATTATCCTGCTGATATTCTTTTTTTTTCCTTTCAGTTATGGGACCTGGCCGTTTAATTTATTTAAGAAGTTGGGAATTCCTGGGCCAAGACCGCTGCCTTTTATCGGAACTTTCCATGAATATCGGGACGTGAGTGTGTTGTCCTGTTTCACGTCCTAGTAGCTTGTAGACAAATCCAAGGAGTTTGGAAGAAAAAGGTGTCTTTTCGGCCTTTTTCTTTCCTAAGGGGGACATTGTGACTTGTATCACCTCTTCTTGGCCTCCTCAGAAGAAGAGCCAAGAGAATAAAGGCTACTAGTACAGGTAGTCCTCAGCTTGCAGCCGTAAGTTGAGGACTACCACTAAAGCCATCTGCCTTTCTTTGGCACTTCTCTAAGAATTCCTTGGTCTCCACCTGAAGATATTGTCGCTGTATTGGTTTAATAAGCATATCAGTAGGGGTTCAAGGCTTACTACTTGAAGGCCTTTTAATGGCTGTTCATACTGTTCCAGTCTCTGTTGAAGAAAGGATTACACTGCCAAGTTTTCACTGATCTCCCTCTTTAATTTGACAGGGTCTCCTGAGGTTTGACCAAAAATGCTTTGAGAAATACGGCAAAATCTGGGGGTGAGTCACCTGTCAGAATGTCACCTTCAAGAAGGAAGGGTGATGGACAGAATGTTAATATCTAGTTTTGTCTTCAGAGGTTGATTTCTAATATAGAAGGGCAAAAATGACAGTGAGGACAATCAACCAGTGGAACAGCTTGCCACCAGCAATCGTAGGCGCTCCATCACTGGAGATTTTTAAGAAGAGGCTAGGCAGTCACTTGTCAGAGATGGTAGAGAGATCATTCTCTTTATCCATCAAATTCCAGGGCCCTGACATGCCCGTGTGCTATGTTGAGACAAGAAAGAAAGAAAGTCTACATTCTGCCCTAAAAAAATTGAGAATTCTTTGCTCATGTAGGACATGCAAGATAGAAACTATTTGCAGTGTTTTTTTCAGCCTTGTCTGCTGTTAACCTGCTTTTTAGGGTTTTTCATTATTTCATTTGGTTTTGCTCACCGGGCAGAGATGTAAGTTGGACAACCTGTCTGTAAACCCTTATTTCCTCCACTCCTCAAACTCTTAAGGGGTAGACAATTGTGCAGAATCACAGTTGCAACATACACATCACTTTTGAGCCAAGAACTGAACTTCAGAACGATGTTCTTTACTTGACTGGCTATTTAGCAGGAAAATAGGAAACCTTGATCCTGTCTCTTTATAAAGATAAACCCTACATTTCAAAACATTTTTATTTATTTATTTTGGCAATCAGAATATTTGATGGCCGGCAACCTGTGATGGCCATTCTGGATCCCGCCCTCATTAAAACCGTCATGGTCAAAGAATTCTATACTTATTTCACCAATCGCCGGGTAGGTATCCAAATGTGAGGCTGTTAGAACTTCACCAGGGCTGAGAAACAGAAGCCCAGCAAGGGAACTGGGAAGAGCAGTTGTGGTTTAGGT